AGAACGGATCAAAGGAAGTACTTCTTCACCCAAAGAGTGATTAACACTTGGAATTCACTGCCACAGGAAGTGGTGGTGGCTACAAGCATGGACGGCTTCAAAAGGGAATTAGATAAGCATATGGAGCAGAGGTCCATCAGTGGCTATTAGCCACAAGGTATAGATAGGGACTCTGGGGCAAGTGATGCTCTGTCTTCTTGGTGCTTGGGGGGGTCAACAGGGGGATGGCTTCTAATGTCCTGGCCCTACTGGTGGACCTCCTGATGGCACTGGTATTTCTGGCCACTGTGTGATACAGAGTGTTGGACTGGATGGGCCTTTGGCCTGATCCAACACTGGCGTCTCTTATGTTCTTATGAACACTGGTCAACAGTGGGAGGGCTTCTAATGTCCTGGCCCCACTGGTGGACCCCCTGATGGCACTGATATTTTTGGCCACTGTGTGATACAGAGTGTTGTACTGGATGGGCCTTTGGCCTGATCCAACATTGGTGTCTCTTATGTTCTTATGTCATCTGGATGCTGAAAGTACGCCACCATCATCTATTACCTGTACTTGCTAGCATTTTGAAATTGTGATGGTTTTAACTACTGTGTGTTTTACTATATTGCATATATGTTGTAAGCCGCCCTTAGCCCGCCCCAGTGGGGAGGGCGGGATAAAAATTAAATAAATTGTAAAAATAAATAAATAAGATCCCAGGTTCGATCCCTAGCAATTTCTGTTAAAGAATCTCACATATAACAGATGTTGGACTTGACTTCTCTCCACCTGGAGAACAGTTGCCAGTCAGAGCTGACAACGCTGGGCTAGGGAGACCAATGTTTACTTTTTATAAGGCAGCTCTACGTATTCATATGCATGCTTTGTTTGAATACTTTAATCATCCTCTAGACAGACATGGTGACTACTTTTGGAAATAGGGTACTGGACTACATGGACCCTCAAGTCTGATCCAACAGGGTTCTTCTTTTGGCAGTGTGCTACTATTCTACCATAGTCAGGGTTAGCATTTCAGCACTGTTACATCTGTGCACTGTCCCCCAATTTAAAAAGCCCAATGTAACTGATAAACAGCAATACTTCAAACACATCTCATTCACCTCTGTTTGCAGAATGGCAGCTCTCTGCTCTTTAGCTGTGAGGGACTCTTTGAGGACGTCAATGTGTTGTTTGCTATCAGAAAACTGGTTTGTGAGAGTTTCCAACTTTGTCTGTAAGGCCAGCAGTTCAGTGTCTTTGCGTGACAGCTCCTGTTTCACTTGACCAATCTAATGGAGGAACCAAACAGAAGACTAGTTACCAAATGCACATTAAGGCATCGCAGAAAATATACGGAACTGTCAAAGAGATCATTTAATACCAATTTAAAATAAATTCAAATATTTAAATAGCATAAAGCCAAATCAAGAAATAAAAAAGAGAGTAAAGCTTACTGTATGCATGTTTTGTGCAAGTATATTCACAAAACAATTTTAAGCATTTTAAAAAACAGTGCTCTTTCATGAAGACTGCTGAACTGTAGCTGATATACATATTACTTTATTTCTGGCAATGACCCTTGCCGCTTGCTGAAAATCAGAAAGTGACACAATGGGAAAATCAGAAAAACTGATTGTCATAACCTACGCTGTCTTTAGCCCTAAATAAAGAATGGCATGAATAAAAACATTGGTTTTAAGAACTGGGAGTTGTTCAGCTTGGATGAATGGAAGATACATCAGCTTGATTTATTACTTGACAGCATTACAGCAATATCACCCTTTTCTGTTTTGCTGTACAATTATGTTTTTAAACGGCCTCAAATAGGAAGAAAGGTGGGGTGAAAAAATATGTGCAAAGCATGCATGTGCAAACAGAGGCAGCTGTAATACATTTCCCAGAGTAGAAATAAACTAATAAACATTTTGACCTTGAGAAGTCAATTTTTAAAATACAGAGTTTCTAGGTGCTATTGAAAAAATGGGAAGAAACAGAGGTGTAACCGTATCAGGAGGATGGGTGTTCATTCTCTTTCTATTTCCTACCTGTGAAGATGAGGGAAAAAAACCATATTATCTTCCTCTGACTGCTGCAGCCTACTGCCCTTGCTTTTACATGATTTTTGTCACAGCATTTTTCAGGAGTCCACGAATTTTGGCTGGCCCTGGCAGCCAGCCATTATTGATGACAAACAGGAAAAAGCTGACCATTTCCAAGTTTTCGCTGCATGCCAAAAATGACTGCTTGGAAGGGTGGGGAAGAGAGAAGAGGCAACCACAGGAGCAACCACAAATACTGACAGAAGGCAATAGCTGTCCTTCCACTTCTACCTATGCATAGGGTTGCCAACACACCTGGAGAAAAATGTTCTGTCCCCCTTCTCAAGTCAAGGTATTTTCTCTTTCAGCCTCCTGTTCCTTTTATTCCTTTAGCACCCCCCCTCCAATTTTCTGCATTAGCTACAAACCCACAGGCAGAGATGGTTTCATTTAACTCTTACGCAGTGCTTAGCATCAAGCACTATTAACCCCCAATACATCTCAGAAAAAATTAGACAGTCACATCTGTACACGAGGGAAGAACATTTTAAAAGTGAAACAGGTTTACAAAGTCTTCAAACCACACAGTTCAGATACAACGAATATTACATTAGAAAAGAGTAAAGCAGTTAGAGTAAGATTGCAACTGTTTTCATGTAGAAAAACAGCTTCCCTTTCAGCCTCAGAGACAGCATCAAGCATTAATTTGTTTTTATCCAAGAAACTGTAATCAAATATGCTGACTACAATAAGTTGAAGTCTTGAAACAGCCCAAAGCATCAAATTCATTTTCTGGATCAAGGCCATACAGGAAAAGGAAAAAGCACAAGGTCTACAATTCTGCTTCTGGCCTTGCACGCTATTTATTAAAATTACAGAGCCCCTAACAAAGAGAGAATCATAGGCATGCAAACAGAATGTCGGTCAGATTTTATATGGGCCCTTGTTTCTACGAGCTCAGTACATGCATCGCTAACACATGACCTTTTTTTTTAGAACTTGGCAAGAAAAGAGTCAGTTCTCATATTGTACAAGACCCCTTAAAAAAAAAAAAAACAGAACGGCATGTTCAGAGTGGGTTACAGACTAACCAGATGTGAACAAGGGACAGAAACAGAGCAGAGTAATACCAGTTAGTCTGAGTGCCCTTCATAATTGCAGAATGCAAGGTAAGCAAAGTATAAGCTGCCCAGAAAGCAACCAAGTCAGCAGAACCCAAGTGAGCGGCCACTGCACACAGAGAAATCAATCTTACGGCAGAGACCTCAGTCTGAAGACCAGCCACTCTCTTTTTCAGCTCTTCCCCTTGAGCCTCTTTGGCATTTAGCTCTTCCTTCAGTTGCTCTACCTGCCACGACATTATTATTTTTTTACATTGATATTAAATGTTTTCAGTCTTCCTCAGGCAACACAGTGGCAATGTAAAGAGCCAGCAAATTCAATACTCGTATCCATATCGGGGTAGAAGGACTGACAGGATTCTTTAAAGTATCTGTGGGCTAGAGCTCACATGGCCTTTGCACAAACAGAAGCACTTCCACTTTGGGGAGGGGGGCTCTGCAATTTCCACAGATTTCCCATGAACTACACCTTCCTGTACCATACCGCATGCTGTTTCCAAGGGTTCCACAAGCTACATTCAAGAGGTGGGGGGGGGGGGGGGGGGGGCAGCAGAAGACAGATAGAAGTGAGAAAGATCCACTGTGTAAGTGGAGTTCACAAATCTTTGAATCCAACCCCATGCTGTTCTAAAACCTTATCAAATAATGACTTTACTTAAGAAATAGGAGGTTGCATTCAAAGGTTTTCCTTTCACAGAAGGCACTTTCACCAGCAGAACACAACTTTCTCATCTTCCCCTCCTGTGGCAACCCATTGAGCTCCCAAAAAGGTTTATCCTGAGGGACAGAGAACCCTCAGAAACAGCATGAGGGGCAACCTCATGCCATTTTTCCTCGAAGGCTGCCATCCCCTCTGCCCGGACATTATCATGTACTTGTAACTTAACAAGTGAGAAATCTGGGTTTAAGTTCTTCTCTCATGTTATTACTGTGTTGTTTTCTGTTTACTTCAAACACAAACCATCCATCCAATACTGCTTTATAATTAAATTCAGGATGTGTTTTGATAGAGGTATTAATGGGCCCTAGAATAATGTAAATATCTTTTGTTCTTCAAGTGCATAGTATTTGAATCAGAGCTTCTGCAGAGACACATCCCTCAAGTGTTAGCCAAAACATGAGAAACAATTCCCAGAATAAAGGGGAAGGGTAACGGATGCTATGCTACTTTAAAAGGGCTATTTAATTATGCAGACGTAATTCAACATTCACTGAAACAGGATATGAGTGTGCAGATTTTGAATTACCAGCCTCAATTAAGGACTGACACATATTTGCAGCTCTTGGTAAGGTTTTTTGTTGTTGTTACTCTAATGCAATGGATCATGGACAGCCACATTGGTAATCATCATGAACAAAAACAACCATATTTACTTTCATCCCTGACATGAGGCCTGCACCTTAGGAAATTCACAGCTTTTCCATTCCTCTTGCAGCAGCTGTTTCAACATGGGAACCAGCTGCCAACCACAGTCTCTACCAGGCAAGGCCTTGTCTATGTTTCTGAAACATAAGGTGGGTGCCACATTGGGGAATGGTGCTTAGAAGATCCACATGTGATATGTTAAAGATCTATTAGGTAAGTGGATTCTAGTCGTTTGACAAACATTATTTACTTATTACCTTATTTTTCATGAATTTGGAATGGCTACGATACACTTCCATTTGTTTCATTTCTTCCTCGCGTTCTTCTGTGCTGAGTGCTCCATTCGATTTCAACATCTGGATCTCTTCTTCCAGATCTCTGAGTCCACGCTCCATGGAGGAGATCTTAGAGTCCTTCAAAGATAAGTAGCAATATGTTCAGTTTCTTCTTGACATACTGCTAAAGCAAGAGGTTTTGAGTACAGGCAGTTTGCAACTGGCCCCATGGAATTGTTCTCAAAGTCACTGTGCTATATATCGTTCGGTAGTCAGGTACTGGCTAAATAGGCACCTCCAGTGAAATCCTAATAAAGACTAAATGATTATGCTTCCATTTGGGATCAGTATCTAATATTCTGAAGTCAGAAAAAAGGATGGAACCATGTTATGAATATGGACCCAACAAAGCATAAAGCTTTTAAACAGAAAACTGCTTCCCACTCATTCCAACAGTAGTACATGTCAGATATACTGAAAAATGATTAATGGCTGCGGTCACACGCAACATTAGCCACGCAAGAGATACGGAAGACAAGCGGAGTTTCCGGTCGCGATCTCACCAGCACATCTGGGAAGCGTAGCGCTTCCGTGGCACAACTGAGGCTTCCTACCGAAAAAGCGCAGCAAAAAACTAGTACCTTGGAGGTACTAGTTTCCAGAAACTGCGGGGCAAGGGCGGGCGTCTGATCGCGTTTCCGGTGGCATCCGGCGCCTACCCATGTCCCCTTGCGGAAAAGGGTTTTTTCCCCCCCAAGTCTTCGTGGATGCGCACACGCACCCAACGGAGCATGCGCATTCATAGTGTACACAAAAAAAGAAAACCAGTTCGCCGCGCCGTGCGCTTCTTCATTGCGCGCAGGCGTGTGTTGTGATCGGCACCTCTCCCTACCCACGGAAGCTCCACAGTACCTCCACAGAACCTCCACAGTAGGTCTGATCGCTTTACTGCATGTTAGTTTGCCCCGGGGCAAACAGCCACACTTCTCTTCTGCAGTTTCCTGCCCGTTGAAAAATGATTAATGTAACTTTAAAACTCCTAATTCCTTTCAACCAGTCAGTGATCCCTGCACTGCTGAAATAACCCAGATGCTGGATTTTCCTGTCCGGATGGGAACTGAATATTACAATAATATCCAAAGATGTATGAATCCAGCCACTGAATCCATAAGATCTGCTGTCCTGGCTTTACTTTCCAAATTTACTTTCATTCATAAGAAAGCAAGCATCCGAAGACTCAATAACCAACAAAGAAGGCTGGGTAATAAACATTTTATGGGCTCAGCTATGTAAGTTTAAGCTTGAGGTAAAGAACTCTACTGATTAATATATATTCATTTTTTGGAATGATCTTGAGCATCTGCTCATATCGCTTTCCAAAAGGGAAAAAGTAGTGCCTGTTCAACCAGACTTCACTATACCTTCCATCCATTTTTGCACATGTCATGGCCAATTGCTATTTTAGTTTTACTAGATGTTCTTTGCCAAAGCCATGTGCCAAAGCCAACCAATGCTCTTAAGGCCTAACTGATGTGTAAGGAAAAAAACCCCTGCCTACAGCAGCATAAGGGTATAACTGTTTATTTTGGTTGGATGTAAATAACTTTTTCTAACTATTGGCTGGGACCCAAATAACCACATTAATAACCACGTGTATGGAAAAACCATTTTGTAACGAAGCAAATTCTCAAAAACAGTCTGTTGGTCTGCACTGCAGTTCAAAGATAAATAAATACCCTGTCCAAGCCTTTGATTCTGATAAAAGGGGCTTTTTGAGCTCTTGTGATTATGAAAATATTTTCTTATTTATGATGTGAAGTTCAGTGATCTCCAGGCCTCAACGGGAATGGCAACTATATCTTGTGCTGCCTCTATAACAATGCAACTTGATTTCCTAAATACTACACATTTTTTTTTAAGCTGATTGTTCATTCTGCTATGCTAAAATATCTTACCTTCATTTCTATAACAGTCTGCAAAGCTTTAGTCTTGGCTGAGTCAGGAGCATTTTCAAAACGACGATGCATCTCCTACACAAGAAAGGAAAAAGAATTAAACAAAATGACTAACTTCAGCCCAATAAATTCAGTCAAAAAGGCTGTTGAACAAGTTCCCTGCCACTTCTCTGCTGCACTGCAGGTGGCCTTTCACATCAAGCAAAAAGGCAGCTACAATAAACTAAACCGAATATCAGCTCATTCCCATCTCCACCATTCACAAGTGAAGCACTGGACCTCAATCTTCTGTATTTTCAAAAACGAACTCTCAACAGGACTCAAACTGAAAGCAACTCAGAAATAACTTTCAGAGAAAGGATTCCTTAGATGGCTTCTTCAAACTTTTTTGTTTTCCGGTGGAAGGATAAAAATACTTAAAAAAAAAAGAGGATTAATAAATAACAGCAACAATCTGGTATGCACTTAACAAGCTGATAAAGCATCTGTGCCAGTAACACTCCTACACACCCAGAACAGCAACCACCTAGTTACAGATGACGACAGCCCTCTCCAGAGAGACTGCAGGGATGGTAAAATACTCACTAGACTGGCAAGTTGATCAAAGCAGTAAGCAATGGGCATGGGAACAAATGCTTGTATTGCTGTGGTTATGAAGGAATAGGTAATCAGATTTCTACCTGGAATGACTAAATACAGGGTTTTATTGTTTTAGAGAACCAAGTGTGTACCTTGGAAGGTAAAATCTAGTTAATCCCATATTTATTGATTTGCTTCATTTATACTTCACCTTTCTCCCCAGTGGGGACCCAAAGCAGCTTACATCATTCTCCTCACCATTTTGTCCTCACAACAACAGTGTGAAGTACATTAGGCCAGAGCTCAAAGTCAACCAGCAAGCTTCCATGACAGACCAGGTGCTCAAATCTGGGTCTCTTAGATCCCAGTTTAACATTTTAACAACTGTACCACATTGGCTCTGTATGGAAGCGTTATTAAGGCTCTTTGAATCTGTGAATAAGCAGGGCTTAGTGTGAGTCAGAGCTCTTCCCTAGCCTCCAATGCATGGATTCCATCCTAGCATTCAGCTATAAAACACATAAGCACAGAATGTATGGTGAGCAAACTGCCATCACCCAGGTTATCACAGCCTGATCATAGACGGCTGAGAACTGGGACTGAGGGTCAGGTCTAAGAACAAGTATGGACTGTGCCATATTGCTTGCTTCCAGGTAAGCAGACTCAACGTTTAGCCTAAGAGACAGGAATACGAAGATCATAGACTGCTCAACTCTCTATGACCTCCACTGAATTCTATAAGGAAAGTGACTATGACTAGCAACACTGCTATAGGAGGGAATTAAACCTGCTCCCACACAAAAAAATGGGGGCAGGACATAGATGTGGCTTCCAACCAAGCAGCACCCCTAAATGCATCCCTTTACGTTCTCTGGGATGTGAATGACTGCCATTCCCACTTCACTGCTGCTGGTATCAGTCTGGTAATAGCTTCAATCAGACATGAGAGGCTAATGATTATGAAGGAACAGTTGTAGTACAGGACTGATTCACAAGCAGGCATTTCTGTACCAACAAGAGTTAGAGATGAAGAGACTTACAGTTTCTCACACCCAAGGAATTTTGTTCTGACATTTATGGCCTAGCACACCTCTGTGATCCTGAAGCATTTCATACCCAAGCAGGTAGTCCCAGGGATGCAGAAAAGAAAGTAACCTGCACATATTTAACTTCCTTTATATCCTGGTTTTTCTCCTCAATGGGAACCCGAAGCAACTTACATCATTCTCTCCTCCATTTTATCCTCACAACAACCCGGTAAGGCAGGTTAGTTAGAGAGAGTGTGACGGACCCAAGGTCATCCAGCTAGCTTACATGGCAAAGTAGGGATCTGATCTTGAGTGTCCCAGATCCTACCTAACACACTAACCATTACACCATACTGCCGCCTATTATTCACATTTATATCAAGTTGGAGAGATTATATGAAGAAATTCCTCTCCCTCAGGAAACAGCTACACAAAAGCTTGCAGGCATGGATTCCCCATCTCACCTCCTCAAGGCCACCTTCCTAACCAATCTCTTGGCATGGATTCCAAAGTTATGCTTCATTTATGAAGTTCATTTCAAGAACTTTCCCCTTTGCTTCATAGTGCAGAGGGAAACAGGCCCAAGAACAGAAACACGAGGAAACCTGTCATCTCTAACCAAGTGATTGGGAAAAGGCCTCACTTCCAAGTGTGCACTGTGTGTTCTTGCCTGGTGGGTCAAGACTGGGCAAATGCTATTAATAGCCTAATGCCTCAACACTTGGCCCTTTTTGCTAAACTGCTGTGAGATGCAGACCTCCACCCAGTCAAGACTGGGCTACAGGCGAAACCATATTGATGTTGCTAAAAGACAATGCCATCCTATCTAAAGGAACATAAGAAGTCAGATAAGATCTGGGCTTTCTCCAACTGCATTTTTCTAAAAGCACAGTGTGTCATACTGTGTGATGCTGCACCACATTTACAAGCTACTGTACACTGAGGTCCTGTGTGGTGTAGTGAACAGAGTGTAAGACTAGCTTCCATGGCAATCTGGGTTCTACAGTGGAAGCTCACTGGGCAACTTTGAGCCTGTCACAAACTCTCAGACTGGCCTATCTCACAGGGCTGTTGTTGTGAGAACGGTATTCTAAATAAATACAAATGCATTGCTTCAACATTTTGAAAGAAGACGGAGCTGACTAAGCGATGCTTTTTTCTGCTAGTTCTGATCTGGTTTGACTTTCTTGGGAGACCTGAAGAAATCATGGAATCATTATCACTGAGAAAGCTATAACTGTACCCCAAGTTGCTAAGACAACTTACAATGACAACTATATGTAATTGTGGATTTGGCCACAGAGTACAAATCAAAACATCCCCACAATAAGGCTAGGTACAAAAAGGGAAATATTTCTACAAATCTGGAGGGAATCCCTAGGCCTGCAGATCAACCTCCCCTCCTCTGGGGGAGCAAGCCATGCACCGATAATTTTGTAAAACTGAGATCTTACAAGATTACGGGTGGCATTATGGCATTACCTAACAGCACTTTTTTTCAAAGTACGGAGCTGAGGGGAGAGAGGGAAACTGTGGCACAAGGATGGGGAGAGGGAAGAAGACAGAGGCAGCAATGGATAAGAAGAGGAAGGAGAAGATAGCAGTGGCAGGTGGAAGAAGCAAGTAGGCAGCTATAATAGGTTGATACGGTTGACCATCAGCTACTGATCCATCGCCTCGCCAACACTGGAGTCCAGGGACTGGCCCTGCAATGGCTTGTTTCCTTTCTCCAAGGCCGGGGACAAAGAGTGGTGCTAGGGGATCAGCTGTCCCGAAGGCACCCGCTGGAATGTGGAGTGCCCCAAGGGGCAGTATTGTATCCGATGCTTTTCAACATCTATATGTGCCCTCTTGCTCAGATTGCCCGGAGGTATGGACTGGGTTGTCACCAGTACGCAGATGACACCCAGCTCTATCTGCTGTTCGGCGGTTAGTCCAACTCCAAACTGGAAGACCTAAACCTGGCGTTACAAGCGGTGGCTGGTTGGCTTAGGCTGATCCGGCTGAAATTGAATCCAACAAAGACGGAGGTCCTTTGCCTGAGTCGGAGCAGTCCGGGGGTAGGGATCCCACTCCTGACCTTCGATGGGGCGCCATTGGTGCCATCGCCAGAGGTTAGGAGTTTGAGAGTGCTCCTAGATGCCTCCTTAACAATGGAGGCCCAGGTAGCAGCCACTGCCAAGTCGGCCTTTTACCATCTCAAGCTGATCAGGCAGCTGGGCTCCCTTCCTCGAACGCAATGACTTGGCAACAGTGATCCATGCAATGGTCACCTCGAGACTGGATTACTGTAGTGCTCTCTACATGGGGCTGCCCTTGTCCCAAATCCGGAGGCTGCAGCTGGTGCAGAATGCCATGGCCAGGTTGCTGATGAGCACCCCTATACGGGAGCACATCCAACCTGTGCTAAAGGCGCTGCACTGGCTGCCTATAGCATACCAGATTCGTTTCAAGGTGCTGGTTATGACCTTTAATGCCCTTTATGGCCAGGGACCTACAGGGACTGCCTTTCCCCATGTTTCCCAGATAGCACTTCGATCGGGGACCCAGAACCGGCTGGCTCTCCCGAACATCAAGGAGACCAGGTTAGCGACAACCAGGGCTCAGGCTTTTTCGGTGGGGGCTCCCCTCTGGTGGAATGAGCTCCTGGAAGAGATCAGGGCCCTGCGGGACCTGTTGCAGTTCCGCAGGGCCTGTAAAACAGAGCTCTTCCACCAGGCTTTTGGAGCCGCCACCACCGCCAACCATCGCTGATATGTGATAGCTCCTGAAGAGAGCCTGACCCCTCTGGATCCCCAACTACCACCCAACCTGATTGCCTGAATAACTGAAGATCAAGGGACTGACTGTACGCTGAGGAATCACTACTAGCACTTTAGTATATTATATGTATGATTTTAGAATTTGTGTTTAATGAATTTTATAACTTATATTTATATTGTATTGTTTTATACTGTTGTGAGCCGCCCCGAGCCAGCTTTGCTTGTAGGGCGGGGTAAAAGTCTATTAAAATAAATAAATAATAAATAAAGGAGGTAGCAGAGATGGGTGGGAAGGAGGAGGCAAAGGCAGGTAGGAAAAGAGAAAGCAAGGATTACAAGTGGGATGGGATTTCTTATATATGATAAACCTTTCTCTAAAATAAATTCTTACCATAGAGCTTGCCATAACCTTACCTGTAACTGTAAAAATACTTTGGGGACTATTTGGCACATTACAGAATTTCTTTATGAAATTACTTACTGTCATTAATATCCTGTTTGTAAACAATGAGAAGCACTTTGTTAGCCACTCCTGAAAACTGCTGAATTAAATTTACTTTTCAGCACTTCTTTCACAAGTGGAAGCCCAATACAGGCTACCACGTCTGCTCCAAAAGATTCGGGGTGTGGAGGGGGGGTGAGACACTGTTCATTCTTATCCACCCCTCAGCAGCTCTTTATGTCATTGACCTCATTATTCTCCAAT